CCTCAAAACTGGACTGATAGGCAACATCATGATAAATGGAGAAAAGATTAAAGTTGTCAAAGATTTCATATTACTTGGCTCCACAGTGAACACCAATGGAAGCATCAGTCAAGAAATCAGCTCATGTATTGCAGTGGGCAAATCTTTGCAAAAGACCTGTTTAAAGTACTGAAGAGCAAAGATGTCTCTTTGAAAACTAAGGTGTGCCTAACCCAAGCCAAGGTATTTTCAATTGCCTCATATGCATGTGAGAGCAGGACAATGAATAAGGAAGATCAAAGAAGAGTTGATGCTTTTGAGTTGTGATGCTGGGGAAGAATACTGGAAGTACCATGGACTGCCAAAAGAACTAACAAATTTGTCCCGAAAGAAGTGCAGCTGGAATGCTCCTTGGAAGCAAGGATGGCCAGACTTCATCTGACCTACTTCGGTCATATTGTCAGAAGGGACCATTCCCTGGAGAAGGATATCATGCTTGGTAAAGTGGAGGGTCAATGAAAAAGGGGAAGGCCCTCAATGAGATGGATTGACACGGTGGCTGCAATGATGGGTTCAGGTAAAGGAAGGATTGTGAAGCTGGCACAGGACTGGGCAGTGCTTTGAGTCAGAGTTGACTTGATGGTATCCAGTAACAACAGGGAGGAGTTTTCCATAGTTCATTGAGTTCATCACCCACTCTGTAGAAGATACTCTTGTTTGCATCTCTCCCTTCCTACTTTGCTAACAGAACCCCAATTCTGTCCAGTAATGGATTTCAGTAGATTCTAGACCCTTCCTCTGCCCCAGAAGATGGATCCTTATTGATCTAAGCCAGTTAAGGAAGCTTCACCCCCTGACAAGTGATGGGACACATGTTGAGATTCTGGTCAATCAGATTTGCAGTAGCCTGGAGGCTTTTTGGGAAAAAAAAATCCCATAACCTCTGCCACTGTGCATAAACAGTGGATTTGTAAAAACAAACTCTTCTATGTGGATGAACCTAATACTTAACTTTATTGAAGCATCATAGAAACTATAAGCAGGAGATGAGCACTACTGTCTGAACATGCCCTCTAGATGATTTTTGCCCCACCTCACCTGAGATGGATTCCATCAGAAAATCTGGAAAAATGATAGTTTCCATGAAACTCATTCTTTATTTCATTTTACTAATGTAGGGAGTTGCAAGTTTGAAGCAATAAGGCACATAGAGAAGTCGTATTTTGTGTGGTTGGAAGTATTAGATATTTTTCCTCAAGAGGCAAACTACCGTTTATTAAAAAAGACTAACTAAATATACCTACTCCTCACTTATTAACATGATTAGGTTTCAAAGACCATGTCATTATGCAAAAATTGGCATTATCCATACATAGAAGATGACCACATCCAATTACAAAATGGAGGATATCTACATCATTACGTAATTGCCAAATTACATCATTGTATAACTGCCAAATGATATCATTACATAACTACCAAACCACTGACAATCATGGCCCAGCCAAGTTGATAAATAACCTTAATGATAACACCAGTGTTACTCTTATCTCACAACTCGGTGCTAGTTACTATCAGACATATGTCATTAATATGTAAGATAGATTTTTTTTACTGTTGTCATAAATGCAAAATGTCAGATGAGATGGTTGATAAATAAGGAATAGGTGTAACTTTATATAATATCCCATGTTATTATAACACTCTTTTTTTGTTTTATGCCTTTATTGAGATACAATTCACATACCATAAAATTCATCCATGTACAGTGTATTCAGAGTCAGGATGCTTTTTCTTTAGAGTGTATGGGTTTCTGACATGAGCTTGTAACCTGCTTGTTCATGCCACTGAGGAGCTCTGCAGGCCAGTTTTCACTGGTACCTCCTCAGTGTTGTGCATTTTATTGTGACCAAATTAGACAACAGATAAATGTATGTGCCTCAGGGGAGGTGTCATCACAAAGAATAAGTACATTGTCAAGTTTTAAAAGCTGAGATCTAGATATAAGATCAAAAGGTTTGGAAAAATAATGGACTCCTGCAGACCTGGGCCTTCCCCATCACCCTCCACCCATGCTCACTTCCAGCCCAGTTGCCTGGGTGGGAGAAAGAAGAGGAGCTGGAGATTCCAAAACCAACACTGGAAGGGCCTGCAACTGCTCCTCAAAATACCAGGTTAATTTTGTAGGAATTTGAGTGTCAGGAGGACTTTTGTCTTCTTCCTTGTGACATAGCTTGTGGAATTTTTCTGTGGCCTGGCCTGGCCACAGAAGAGTGGAGCTAGCTGCATGGCCTGTCTAGGCTGAGAGGGCCTAGACTACTTCCCACCTTGCAGGAGCCTGGGGTTCCAGAGTGGCCAAATTTTTCATTGCGTTTAAGATGGTTGTGGGCGGAGTTGAAATCAAGTGGACATGGAGAAGGCCTGAGATCAGGAAGAGGTTAATATGGGCATCTGTGTGGATCTATAGTCAGGAGCTTCACATGGTGATGGACATCTTGGCAGACGTCTGCCTGGACTGATGACACCACTGTGAATGAAAAGGGTGGGGAGACCTTGATTTAATGGAGGAGATCTTGAATTGAAGCCCATGGAAATACCAGTTGCTGTTGAGCTGATTTCAATTCATAGCAACTCCATGTGTTTCAGAGTAGACCTATATTCCACAGGGTTTCCAACAGCTGATTTTTTTTTGGCAAGTTAGGCCTTTCTTCCAATGTGCCTCTGGGTGGACTTGAACCACCAACCTTTTGGTTAGTAGCTGAGGGGTTAACCATTTGCATCATCCAGGGACTCCAAGTTGGAAAGGGCACTTAGAATAGAAATTATGTTAAATTATGAAAAAATTTAAAGTGATACTTTTTGTATACCTGGAATGATGGCCTGAGAGTCACATTGTTTTATCTTGACCATGTTGCCTAATCTCTCTAGGACACAATTTTCTCATCTGCAAATTGGGATTGGGGAGGAGGGGTTGGACTAGGTTGTATTAAGAGCTTTTCCAGCTCAGATTGACCATGATGCTAAAGTAACAGCATCTCTCAGATGTTTTCTGTACCTGTCACTTTCTTTGCAAAACCTTGCCCAAGTATCCAGTGGGTCTGCTGAGAATCACTGGGATGATATCCAGAATGAAGGGGAAAAAAGGAGGCATTCCCAACCCCCACAGAGATGAGACCCTTTTTTGGCACCGATTCAGACTGTATCTAATTATTTTAAAAAATGATTTGTTGAAAAAACATGCCAGCAACTCTCAATTGATATGACAATTTAGGGAAAAAAATATATCTACGGTCATGCCATCTGACAAATGGAAGCATTTTCTCTACTTCCCCTTCTAGTCCATGCTTATGTAAGTACACCTTTTGTGCCAAAACTTGGAGACTGCATTGTATCCAAGGGCTTTTGGGAGGTAAGAAACCTGGATATTTTAACTCTGCTGATTGGCTGCCCTGGCAACCAGCTTTACAGACCAAATGAATCCAAAAATATCTCCCTAGCTCAGACCCTTCTCCCGAACTCCAGAAGTATATGTCCAACTGCCTACTCAACATCTCCACTTGGATGCCAAACAAACATTATATTTAACATGTTCAAAACTGAACTCTTAATTCCTACCCACAGCCCTATTCTTCTACCTGTCTTCCTCATTTCAGTAAATGATAGCACCGTATCCATTGCTTGATCTAGCCATGAAGCCATCCCCAATTCCTCCTTCTCCACCCCCCTTCACATTCACTCCCCAAGCAAGTCCTGTCATTTCCGTCTTTAAATGACCTTCATATGAGTCAATTTCTCTCCATCTCAGCTACGCTCAAGCCACCGTCATTGTTTCCTGGTCTGCTGCAGTAACCTCACGTCTGATTTCTTGTTGCTTGCTTTCCTGTACTCCATGTTCCCCACAGGAGTCAGTATGATTTCTAAAAATGTAATTCATGTCTTGTCATTTACTCTGTGGATTAAATAATTCTAATGTCTTTCCATGCTCTGAATCAAGTCCAAACCCTTCTATGGCCAATAGTCTTGTGTGATCTGGCTCCTGCCTATCTCTTCAGCATCATCTCATGTCCTATTACTCACACCCTCCAGCCCCAGTGGTCTCCTTTCTTTTCCTTCAACATTCCAAGTTCTTTCACACCTCAAGTCTTGGCACACTAGGTTGCTCTGAAAATGAACATACCTCCCCAGGTTCTGCAACTTTTAGATATCAGTCCGTATGTTCCCTTTTCAGAGAGGCTATTTTGGTTACTTAGCGCCACTATAACAGAATATACCACAAATGGGATGGCTTGAACAAACAGGAGTTTATTCTTTTACAGTTTTGGAGGCTAGAAGTCTGAGTTCAAAGTGTCAGGCTCTAGGGGCTGAGTGAAAGCCCCTCAACCTTGCACTTCAGCTCTGCCTCTTGGTCCCGGCCTACTGAAGCTGGAGGCTTTTCTTCACTCACGCAGCTGCTGGCTGCTGGGGCTGACAAACCCAAGGTTGACAAGTAACAAGGCACAGTTCCAATAATACCAAACAACACGGCAGGCCACTAATTCAAGTCCAGAAAAAGTCCCAAGATCAGCAGGGCATAACAGGCTGCTGAACAATGACTTGGTTATATGTAGGGTTCAAGTGTGCCAAAAGGCTGGAGACCTTCTTCAAAGTTGCTTCTCATATGCTGGAAGCAGTCTGCATCTCTAAAGCAGCTACTCAGCTGCTCACAGTAGATTCCACCATGGAGTTAAATACCAATCTCACCATGAGGAATAACTATATCCAGCTGCCTAGCCACTCAAAACCAGGCCCAACCAAGCTGACACACAACCTTAACTACAGAGCCTTTCTCTGTTATTTTTTCTATCTCGCAGCCACATGATTCCTGACTCTGGTGGCAATCCCTACTATGGCAATCCTCAGTATTTTGTGTAGGTGGTACAATGGCTCATGCACTTGGTTGTTAACCAAAAGGTTAGAGTTTCAAGTACGTTCAGAGGTGTGTTGGAAGAAAGGTCAAGCAATCTACTCTGAAAAATCAGCCATCAAAAATCCTGTGGAGCAAAAGGCCAGAGTTACTTGTCTGATAGAGCCTAGTGGAACCACTGAGACTGTGGCCTTAGAGATCATTTGAGCCTGGAACAGAACTACCACTAGGGATCAATTTTCAGCTTACTTTTAGACAAGCCTACTTTATAGACAGGCCTGGAAAGTGAGTACTCACAACAGGGAGGAATGTACTCCTCAGTGCAATTGACAAGACAAGACTAAAAGGGTAGCAGATGACCAAAGACAAAGTTCACAAGGCAGGGAGGGGCAGGAAAGAAGGACAAATAAATGGGGAGCCAGGGTCGTAGTGGGAAGACCTTTTACATTGAGAGGATTGCAACCATGTCATGAGACAAAGTGTATATACATTGTTGAATGGAAAACTAATTTGCTCTGTAAATTTTCACCCAAACTATAACTGGAAAAAAAAAAAAAAAAATCCTATGGAGCGTAGTTCTACTCTTACACACATGAATTGGAATCAATGACAACTAGTTTGGTTTTATTTTCTTCTGTTCCTTCATCACAATTTTTAATTTTCCATTCTTCCCTCCCTTCCTCCCTTATTTTCTATCTATCCTCACCAGACTGTAAACTCCACAATATTACCAATATTTACCAATATTCACCAGTGTTTCCACGATGTCTAACACAGTGTTTGACATATAGTAGTTACTCAGTAATAAGAAAGCACAGCCCACCTCCCCTTGCAGTGAGCAGTTATTTGTCTGGAACTGGGCTGGGCCTTCCTGGACATGAACTGTTTTCCTCAAAGGGTGAGGAATCTTCAAGTTCAAGCTGAGACTCTACTGGCTGCTTCATTTTATCTCTAGTTTCAAAATATGGGGGTACTTGGGGTATCCTTTGTCTCCTTCTTGAGGTAGTCTGATGTCCATGCAGTGGATGGGTTGGAGGTGTTCAGAGCACGACCAATGAGGAGGCTATTGGGGCAATCCATGTGAGCACATGAAGTTCTGAGGTAGGGCAGTGACTATGCAGATGGACAGGAGGGGAAAGAACTGATGGCACTTGGAGACTTCAAGGCAGGGCAGGGACTAGGGGGAGGCAAGCGAGGTACCCAGGACACAGAATTTAAAGAGGTAAGATCATGCAAGTGCCCATGCTGTGCTTGCTTGACCCTAGGATTTGTACTTCCCCGGATTTTGTGGCATAATCACCTTGCTTGCCTCACACCAGTACTGGCCCTGCTTTAAGGGGGAGATGAGGTTGAAGGAGGGCAAGGTAGCCCCAGGGCTCTCAGCATCGGAATCTGGGGATGGGATGTTGAAGCTGAAGCTGTCAGGAGTGGAAAAACTAAGAGGAGAGTCCTGCTGAGAGGTAATGGAGGTTAGTTTCAGCCCCTCCATCTCTGTTTCAGTGATTACAAAGGTTCAAGAACCACAATAAAGCAAATGTAATAGGATGCCTATCTCCCTCAGGCATACATAACATTTTCCAAAGATTCTTTCTCCAGAGCACATTGTCTGGCCCAGATCTCCACCAGGGCTAGGGACTTATACTGAGACAGGCAGGGAATTGGGCTAACCAGATCAAACACCTCCCTGACTCAATATCCTTGAAATTTTAGCCTATGTGCAGACCACCACATAATTCTGGCTGCCGGCCGTTAGAAACAGATCAGTTGGCAAACCAGGTGTTTGGGAGAGATAAAGAGGCTGCAAATTAAAAGCCCCTAAGCTTGACTAGTTATAAAATGCTGATAAACCTCCAGATTGTTTTTTTAAGTCTCTCATTAGGTGCCCAACAGGTGCAGAGCAGGCGCAGTGAAGATCAACATGACTGACAAAGTGACCCTCTACCAGAAATAAGCAAGAATTTGAGTCCAGAGACATCACACATGCATGACTTGAATCTCAGAAGTTGAACCTCAGAACCCCACCCATTTCATGAATAAAGATGATGCCTTTCTCCCCCCAAGGCTACTTATAAACCTTAGAAATCCCTTTGTTCAGGGAGAGACTGGGCTAGTGCAGGCAAAAGCCCCTCTCTGCCTCTCCCTGTGAGCCCCTCCCCTCTCCTCTGTCTTTTTAATAAACTTTGGTTTGTGTGGACATTTTACCTCTCCTGTTCAATTCTTTGTCAGTAGGGGGCAAGGCCCCTGCTCAGGGTCTCAGGCACCACAGTAATAAGACTAATCTTAGATCTACCCAGAACCACTTTTCAGATCTGGAAAAATGCATACCACCCCTTCTCCTCACTACACAAGGCACAGAGTGGGCTTCAGTGTAATACAGGGGGCCAGGAAGCAGTAGAATGGGGATGGGGCAAGGTTTCCCCTTTTGTTGCTAGAATCCTTTTGTTGTTGTTGTTATATGCCGTCGAGTCGGACCCGACTCATAGCGAACCCTCCTTGGGTTTCCGAGGCAGTATCACTACGGAAGTAGGATTGCCCAACCTTCCTTCCGAGAAGTGGCTGGCGGGTTTGAACCGCCAGCCTTCTGGTTAGCAGTCAAGTGCCTTAGGCACTATGCTACCAGAGCTCCCGCTAGAATCCTAACACTGGAGAAAGAATCTTTGGGAAAAGTCGTGTACACCTGAGGGAGATAGGCATCCTATCACATTTGCTTTATTGTGGCTCTTGAACCTTTGTAGTCACTGAAACAGATGGAGGGGCTGAAACCTACCTTCATTACCCCTCAGCAGGACTCTCCTCTTAGTTTTTCCACTCCCAACAGCTGCAGCTTCAAACTTGGGTTTGAATCCGGGTTTCCTGCTTCCACCACTTGTTACTTGAGTAATATTGGTCAGATTGCTGCAGATTCTTTACCTGCAAAATGGGGAACGGTGCCCACCTTGTAGGATTGGTATGAGGATGAAATGAGATACTGCATGGAAATTGTCAGCTCCATGGTGACGCTCAGTAACTATGTTTTCCTTCCTGGTATGGAATTGAAGAATGTCATGATAGGAAGAGAATTTGGAGCTCCATTTATTTTATTTTATTTTTCCTGTGGACCTTAAGTACACAGAATTATACCTTTCCCAATTTTTGCTTCATGATACTCTCATCATTGATCTATGCATAGACCTCTTTTAATTATCTACTTACCTCCTCCCTACTTATCTACCTAATTATCCACCTATCCACCTGTCTTAGCTTCTTAGTGCTGCTCTAACAGAAGTACAGATTAGAAGGCTAGAAGTCTGGATTCAGGGTGCTGGTTCTATGGGAAAGCTCTCTCTGTCTGCTCTGGAGGAAAATACGTCTCACTTTCTCCAGGGTTCTTCTCAGTGTCCCTGCATGGCATTATCTTCCCCCCATTTGGGCTGTGTCTAATCTGCTTCTTTTATATCTCAGAAAGTCACGAGATTTAAGACACACTCTATGTTGATATGGCCTTATTAACCTAACAAATGACACCCAAATGGAATGTATAGGGTATATAAATGTTATAGGGATTAGGATTTATAACATATTTTTAGGGGACACGATTCAATCCATAAACTTTTTTATCTATCCATCTTTCTCCCACTCATCCATCCATCATCTGTCTGCTTATCTCCCTACCTACGTACCTACCTATCAATCTTATATTGTTAATCTATTTATTGTTTGTTTATAATAATATACACATCCATGAAACCACCACCCAGCATGGAGGTAAGAACCTTGACAATAACTTCCACTTACCTGTGTTCCCATTCTTCCCATTCCTCTACCTTCCTCCATCCAAGGTAACTAATATTCTGAATCTTGGGTCTCTTTTTTTAAAAATATGGTTTTTATCATATTTATATGTGTTTCCATAAGGAGCTCTGGTGGCACAGTGCCTAAGGCATTTGACTACTAACCAGAAGATTGGTGGTTCAAATCCACCAGCCACTCCATGGAAGGAAGATTGGGCAATCTACTTCTGTAAAGATTTACCACCTCCAAAATCCAGCGAGGGTCGCTATGAGTAGGAATTGACTTGACGGCAGTGAGTCTGGTTTTTAAAAACCGTATAATATTAGCTGTTTTAGCTTTATAAAAAGCATATCATGCTGAATGAAATCTTTTGTGGTTTTTTTTGTTGTTGTTGTTGTTATGTGACTCTGAATCATAGCAACCCCTCCTTGGGTTTCCGAGGTGGTATCACTACGGAAGTAGATTTCCCAACCTTTCTTCTGAGGAGTGGCTGGTGGATTTGAACCTCCAGCCTTCTGGTTAGCAGTCAAGTGCCTTAGGCCCTATGCCATCAGAGCTCCTATATCTTTTAGTACATATATGTAATATACGAGCTTTCTTTTGGATGTAACTGAAGCATGGCAATAGGGTATGTGAATGTCCAGCTCTAAAGTTTTCTGAAGCAGCTGTGCCAATTTACGTGCCAACCAGTATGAAAGCAGGAGCCAGTTGCTTCTTTATTTTTGCTGTTTGGTTAGGGACAAAATGGCATCTCACTGTGATCTTGACTTGATTTTCTCAGATTAATAATGAGGTTGCCCATAGCATTTCCTTTAGCCCCATTTTAATGATAGTCACATGGTTTCACGGCAGAGCTTGGATGTTCATGTTGGTCTTTCCTTGAGGAGATAGGAAGTGGCCATCAGATCTGTGAACATGCATTTCCCTCTGGATTGGAGCCTGTCCTCTTCAGCTAAGTTTCTTGGTCAGAGTTATGGACCTTGCTCCCTGAGTCTCCATAGAAGATTAGTGGCTGGGTAGGGCATGAGAGTTTGCCTTTCACTACTGACCCTCTATTTTGGTTACTTCATGCTGCTCTAACACAAAATGCCACAAATGGGATGGCTTTAACAAATAGGAGTTTATTCTCTTACAGTTTTGGAGGCTAGAAGTCTGAGTCAAGTGCCAGGCTCTAGGGGGTGGGTGAAGGCCCCTTGACCTTGGGCTTCAGCTCTGCCTCTTGCTGTCGGCCTACTGAAGCTGGAGGCTTTTCTTCACTCAGGGAGGTGCTGGCTGCTGGGGCTGACAAACCCAAGGTTGACAAGTAAAAAGGCACAGTCCCCATATTACCAAACCCATGGCAGGCCATTGATTCAAGTCCATTAACAGTTCCAAGACTGGCAGAAAATATGGCAGGCTGTTGAATAACAACTCAGCTATGTGTAGGATTCAAGCATGCCAAAAGCTGCAGACCATGCCTAAAGCTTCTCCTTATATAAAGAAGCAGACCACATTCCCTAAGGCAGCTACTCAGCTGCTCACAGTAGATTCTACCATGGAGTTGATTACCAGTCTCATCATGGGGAATACTACATACAGCTGCCCAGCCACTCAAAACCAGGTTCAGCCAAGTTGACACATAACCTTAACTACCACACCTTCCTAGTCCAGGCTTTTATCTCTTCTGGGGGCTGTAGGAGGTGGAGACTGGGAGAAGGGGAGGGACTGCTAGGGCTGGACAGGTCTCAGAAGGCTGCAGAGGCAGGAGAAGGTAGAGTAGCAGCTACAGGCATCATGGCAGTTCCTCCTCCTACATCAGTTTTTCTGAATAAGACAGGAGGAGACAGAGGGTCCTGTGTCACTGAGGTGGGCCTGGGAGAAGAAACAGAGAGCTGAAGTGAGGCTCCTGCTCTTAGACTTCAGAGGACTTCTTTCCACACTTAACTCCCTCCTTCTCTCCCTATGGAAATACTCTCCTGCCCACACCAAGGGAAATGCACATCTTTGTGCATCCTCAGGCTAGGGCAATGGGTGGTAGAGAAGAAGGCTGAAGGGACAGGTACAACTTTCAGGGATCCTCTGAACTCAAACCCCTTCTGAAAACCAAAAAACTAAACTCATTGCCATGGAGTCAGACCCGACTCATAGTGACCCCTCCTTGTGTTTTCCGAGGCAGTATCACTATGGAAGTAGATTGCCCAGTCTTCCTTCCGAGGAATGGCTGGTGGGTTTGAACTGCCAGCCTCCTGGTTAGCAGTCAAATGCCTTAGGCACTACGCCCCCTTCTGGGGAGAGGAGAAATGTAAGGGCCCAACTTTCTCCTCATAGTGTCCCTTGCTGCCTGAAGTCCTGCCCCTGGCAGCCCAACCCTTATCTGGAGTCCCTGCTTACCTGGAACGGAGGTTCCTCCTGAGGATATAGAGGGTGGAAAGTGCAATCAGGGGAACCAGCTTCCAGACAAGGAGGAGGAGTGTCCCATAGAGGGAGCTGGATAATCTGGTGCCTGGCAAGGGAAGGACTAGGAGACATTAGGGTAAGCCTAGACTCCTGCTTCCGTCATGTGACCTCCAGCCTGGCTTAGCCCCACAGCAACTCAGATATCAAGACTACACCTTGGTCTTGGAGGGAGTCATCTAAACTTTTTGAGCCACAGTTTCTTTATTTTTAAAATGGGAATTATAACAGCTGCTTTAGAGAGTTTTTGAATCAAATGAGAGCACTCAGACAAAGTACCTAACTAAGGTGCTCAGTAGCTGTTGAATCTGAATGGTTTACAGTAGTGAGTGGGACTTGGGGAAAAATGTTTCACACTAGCTTGGTTACAATGAGTACATTGTCAGAATGCAAGTGTGTGATAATAGCATCTCTTAATACTATTTGGTACCTAAGGCATGATATTCTGAATAAGTTGCTCTCATTGTTATCTTGTTTTATAGATGAGGAAACTGAGTTTCAGAAAGATGAAGTGACTTTCCCAAGGCCATACAGCAAGCATGCAGAGGCAGCATTTGAACCCGGCTGTCTGAGCTTTTAACTGCTTGGTTATTCTTCCCCTACTCACCCATACTTGCTTGCTTTTCATTTCTAAGCTCGCTCAGTGGAACACTGGCCTGGACCGGTGGCTGGGCATTGTGCCACACCTGGCAGGTGAAAGGCCTCTTCTCTTCCCATTCTGAGGTGTTGACCAGGAGATGGCTGTTTTGGCTGAACGTGCCATCTGGGTTTGTGGTGGGGGCAAGGGTCTCACAGGTCTGGAAGCCTCGGTTCTTCTCCAGCCAGGTGATGCGTGCGCCTTTGGGGTAGAACCTTTGCACGTGGCAGACGAGGACAGCTGCCTGCAGGCTTGGGACAGGGTGTCCTGATACACTCACTGTGGGCAGAACTGAAACAACAGCCCTTCCTTCCTTACTTCTTTCTTCATGCAAATTGTGCTCAAAGAGCATTCATTCTTTCTAGGCATTGTGCTTGGCTCTTGGGACATAACAGTGAACAAGACAGACCTGGGCTTGGCCTCATGGAGTCTTATGCTGGTTGACTACCACAAGGGTCCCGAGATCCCACAACTGGGGCACCTGACCTGGTCTTGGGGGAAGGCAGGTTAGGGAAGGGCTTCTGGAGGAAGTGACCTTTGAGCAGAAATATGAAGGATGAATAGGAATTAGCCATATATGACAGATTATATTTTCCAGAAATGCCACAGAAAGTCCCATGTGCTCCTCCAGAACCTTGTCACTCGTCATCAGAGTCTATTTCCCTTGCCCTGGAACCTAGGTGGGGCTTTGTAATTGTCTTGATGAATGGACCGCAGCAGAAGTGATACTGTGTAACTTCCAAGACTAGGTCATAACAGCCGATATGGCTTCTGCCAGGCTCTGCCTCTCTTGGCAACACTTGCCCTTGGAACACAGCCACCAAGCTGTAAGGAAGCCCAAATTAGCCCACGAGGAAAGACTAGGGAACTGAGGCCTCAGGCCAGTAGCCAGCAGCAACAATGGCTTGATATGGCTGTGAATTTGCCTGTAAATGATACAGCCTTTGAATTGTCCAGTGGGGGTCTGAGACATCATGAAGCAAGTACAAGCTGCCCCAATTTTCCCCGTCTGAATTTCTGATGCACAGAATCTATGAGCCTGATAAATGGCTTTTCACATCTCTAAGTTTAGGAATAATTTGTAATATATCCCGGGTGACTGGGACATACCAGAAAAGATAATTGACCAAAGCAGCCAGATGGAAGGGAGCACTGGGAGAGGCTTGATGTTGGGAAGAGCATCTCGGGTACAGGGAAGAACATGGGCAGCTTCTTTTTGTTGTTGTGTGCCATTGTGTCGATTCCGACTCGGAGCAACCTTATAGGACAGAATAGAACTGCCCCAGAGCATCTCCTAGGCTGATATCTTTATGGGAGCAGAGCTCCAGATCTTTTCTCCCGTGGAGTGGCTGGGGGGTTCAAACTGCTGACCTGCCAGTTAGCAGCTGAGTGCTTAACCACTGTGCCACCAGGGCTCCTTGAGGAGAGTCTTAGCACATTGTAAACACAGGAGGACCAAAGTGAAGGGGAGCTTGGGCGAGATGAAGCAGAACATGAAGCCAGTCTTCAAATTATGCTGCAGTTACGCCTCCAGGTGCACAGAAAGACATTCTAAGGTACAGACACTGACAGATTTTTTTAATTATTATTATTTTCATAGCATGTGCTCTCAAAATTATTTGTCAAAATAATGATTCCTGGTAGCATAGTGCCTAAGGCACTTGACTGCTAACCAGAAGGCTGGTGGTTCAAACCCACCAGCCATTTCTTGGAAGGAAGATGGGGCAATCTACTTCCGTAATAATAATGCCTCGGAAACCCAAGGAGGGGTTGCTATGAGTCGGGGCCGACTCGACGACACATAACAACAACAACAATTATTATATTTTAGAACAAAATGGGTTCTACTTATATTATTTTGAATTTTTAAAAATTGTGGCAAAATATGTGTAACATAGGACTTGTCACGTTAACTATTTTTAGTGTGCAATTCCAGACACTGATTGTTTGAGTACAACTAATTTCCTGATCCTCAATCCTCCCAGGACTCTCTCCTACAATTGATCTGCTTGAGAATGAACATCAAGGCCATTTGCCTCTCTGCCTCCTGTTTCTCTATTTTCCTTCTCCCGCTTCACTAAAGAAAAGCCTATCTCAACCTATACAAACTATGAGACCAGAAGAACTAGATGGTGCCCAGCTACCACTGTCATCCACTTGGAAGGGATATAGGAGATCCTGGATAGAGAGGGAGAACAATGTGGAACAAAATTCAAAATCATTTGGAGGCAAAAAAAAAAAAAAAAAAAAATGATGGTGGAGACCAAGTTTACTGGTCCAATAGAGCTTGATGGAACCACTGACACTATGGCCCCTAGCTGCCCTTCAGGTCTGGAATTGAATCCACACCTGTGGTTTCCAGCCAAACAAAGTACAGACATGTGAGTCAAACATTTACCTCAAGTAGACACGCGCCCTGGAGAGAACAATCATGGGAGAAGGAAGGGCTGCTTATGCACAAGGAGACAGCTCAGGGGGCAGGAGAGTATGGAGGGAGGGACACTGGGAAGAGGTAACTATGGAGAGGAAGTGGAAGGGGAGAAGAAAAGAAAGAGAGAGAGAGAGAGAGAGAAAAAAAAAAGAAAAGCCTATCTCCCACACATTCCAAATATTACTATGTTGCATTCCCCTTGGTCTTTAAACCATTCAAAGTTTTGCTGGCCAAGAAGCCAACTTAATTGAGGCATCATGAACTCCCCCATCCACCTCACTGAGCTGCATTGCCAACATTTTAATAATTATTTATCAAATTTAGATTGTTTTGATTAATTGTGCAATTCAATCCTTTTTTTTTTTTTTTAAATACTCCAGGCCAGAATGGATGGACTTCTGGAGCAGTGAGAGTGGTATCTTGGCCTCTCCTTCCCTATTTCAACGTGTGGGTCAACCCAACAGTCTGGTCTGTGCTCTGGGGAAAATGGATAATGGACTTGGCCCTCATGAAGTCAGAGCAGGAAAGAGGGGGATGGAGCTTTGCCTGCATTGTTGCCTCCCTGATGCCAGGTAGGCTTAGGAAGCATCTTCAAAGGTGGTGACTAGCAGCCTAACAATGGTGGTTTGTGCAATGGTGTTAGGAGTCCATGTGGAGAGCCCATATGAGAAAAGCCTCCTCACTGTGGCTTCAAAGATCAGTGGTCCCTGCCTCTCTCTCCTCAGCCTCTTCTTTTTCTACACACCCCTCTTCTCACTAAGCCCTCAGCCACACCAGCCACCTTTCTGCTCAGCAAACATGTCTTGCTCCCACCACCCAATCCTAGTCCTTTGCACACCCTGTTTCCTCTGCTTGGAATACTCTCTACTTGTTGCTTGGCTGACTCCTTTTCATCTTTCAGGCTGGACTCAAACATCACTTGTTCAAAAGGGCCTTTCCCGAGTTAACGAGATTTCTCTCGTTTTCGTCTGTATCACACTCTGCTCTAGGGTCCCTGGGTGGTGCAAACAGTTGATGTCCTCACCTGCTGACTGAAAGGTTGGAGGTTTGAGTCCACCCAGAGGCACCTCAGAAGAAAGGCCTAAAGATCTACTTATGAAAAATTAGCCACGGAAAAACCTATGGAACATGGTTCTCACACACATGGGGTCGCCAGGAGTCAGAATCGATGCAACAGTTCATACCGACCTCAGGGTATTTGATGGGGAATGAGCAGGAGGACGCAGGCGAAGTGCTGCAAACAGGGAACCTGCATGGTTCTGAGGGGATGGACCTGGGGGTAGGAATGGGGAGAGGCTCTTACCTTGGAGGAATTGGGACATGTCCACATGCCCATGGAGCGGGCTCTGCAATTCACTGTGAGCCACTTGGCAGGTGACCTGGGACGAGAGTGAGGAGATGGTGAGGGTCACCAGGGCGGTGCTGATGACAGTGTAGGAGGAGGCATTTCCATGTGGGAGGATGAGGGTCTGAAGGGCTGGAAGCTCCATGCCATTTTCAAGCCATTTCAGATGGATGTTTCTGGGAAAGAAGCCGACTGACGTGCAGGTGAGATTCACTACCTGGCCTGGGCTGGCCCTGTTGGAGGGGCCGGAAATCTCTGGAGGAGAGGGCTTAGCTTCGGTCAAGGCAAGTGTGGAGAGAAGTGAGAGGAGAAGGGAGAGGCGAGAGGAGAGCAAAGGAAAGGAGAGGAGAGGAGAGAAAATGGCAGGTTGAGCTCTAGTGCACCACCACCATCATGGTTCAACCTGCTTAACTTTCCACTCCAATCCCTCATCTCCAGTTCACACTCTGAAACCAGACCTTGGTGGTCTTGCCAGAATGCAAATCTGATCATGTCATTTCCTTATTCTTCCCTATCTGTGTCTTTGCTTCCTCCTTTTATCCCTCCTTTCCTTTCCTCCCTCACTTCTTTCCTTCCATTTAAAATCAAAGTACGTTGTTTAAAAAGTCAGAAGTGCTCTACAAGGCATATCATGAAAAACAGCAACTTCTGGTTTCCTCCCCTTGTAAAAGTTATAGACCAGTCATTTTCATTCCTTTGGACAGCTCCTTTTGTGTTTCCAGATTAATTACGATGCTTATACTAATTTGTTCATTGTTCAGTTTGATATGTTATGGATAGATTTACTCCTAGGGAAGGTGACCATTTAGCTCTCGTGTATCTCTCTCCACCTGCCACCCACACTACACCTCTTTACACCTTCCTTGTTTGCTCCATGTTTTGGTAAAGTACCTTTTGGTGCATGAAAGTGAGTTCTTGGTGACCTTGTGAACTTGATAGCTTGACTAGGTATAGACTTTTAGGTTGGAAATGATTTTCCCTCAGAATTTTGAAGGCACTGCTTCTTGTCTTCTAGCTTGCAATATAAACTCAATAACTCACTGCCGTCGAGTCGATCCCCGACTCATAGCAAACCCTCCTTGGGTTTCTGAGGCACTATCTCCACGGAAGTAGATTGCCCAATCTTCCTTCTGAGGAGTGGCTGGTGGATTTGAACCGCCAGCCTTCTGGGTAGCAGTCAAATGCCTTAGACACTATGCCACCAGAGCTTCTTAAGATGTTTGATGCTGGTCTCGTTAACGACACTTCAGGAATGACTTGCTTTTTTATTTTCAGTTGTTGAAACTTACATGGCCTTCTCTTTGTCCCCAAAGACTGCCTATCATTCTCTTTGTTTCTGCATATTCCTAATGTGCTAAAATTTTAAAGATTCAAAAATCGTGCTGGTGCAGGCTTCTATGGTTCTGTTAAAATAAATGACTACACTCATATTTTAAGAAAAAATTGTATGATCATTAATTAATCAATACAAATAGGTCCCAACCAACCGCTTTCTTTCCCAAGCTTTCCCTTAATCCATGCTGTTTATGGTCTTACAGGCTTTGTCTTTAACCATGATTGTATCAGTTGATCAGTAAATCACTGCATATCCAAGAACATGCGGGGCTTATAAAAATCAAGGAGGCCCTGGGCAGTGCACATGGTTAACATACTTGGCTGCTAACTGAAAGTTTGGGGCTCAAGTCCAACCCAAGTCACCTCAGAAGAAAGATCTGGTGATCTACTTCTGGAAAATCAGCCCTTGAAAACCCAATGGAGCTCAGTTCTACCGACCCTCACGGTGTTGCCATGAGTTGGGACAGACTTTACAGCAACTTTTTTTTTTTTTTTTTTTCAGACTTTACAGCAACTTTTTTTTTTTTTTTTTTTAATAGAAATCAGCATACTGTGGGTTGGCAAAGAACGAACAAGTCAGTCTCAGAGGACACAAACCAGAATGTTCCTTAGAAGCCAGAATGGTGAGAGTTCAACTCACTTATGTTGGACATCTCATCAGGCAAGACCAATTTGTAGAAAAGGACAACGTGTGGTAAGGTAGAAGTCAATGAAAATAAGAGACACTGAGTGAAATGATCTGACACAATAGCTACAACAATGGGCTCAAATAAAGGCAATGTTTTGTTCTGTTCTACACAAGGTTGCCAGGAGCTCTGGTAGCGTAGTGCCTACGGCACTTGACTGCTAACTAGAAGGTTGGTGGTTCAAACCCACCAACCACTCTTCGGAAGGAAGGATGGGCAATCTACTTCCGTAGAGATACTGCCTCAACAACCCAAGGAGGGGTCACTATGAGTTGGGGCAGACTCAATGGCATACAACAACAACAACACACAAGGTTGCCATGAGACAGAGCCAACTCGACAGCAACTAACAACAACATGGAAATCTAGGACACAATTTCAGAAATATAGGAGGTACTTAAGGCATTTGACTGCTAACCAGAGGCTGGCATTTCAAACCCACCAGCCACTCCTCGGAAGGAAGATTGGGCAGTCTATTTCTGTAGTAATACTGCCTTGGAAACCCAAGGAGGAGTTGCTGTGAATCAGATCTGACTCGACAGTGTGAGTTTTTTTTTTTTTTTTTTTTTAATATTCTACATAAGGAGCTCTGGTGGTGGAGTGCCTAAGGCATTTGACTACTAACTAGAAGACTGGTGGTTCAAACCCATCAGCCACTCCTCAGAAGGAAGACTGGGCAAACTACTTCCATGAAGATTTACCACCTTGGAAACCCAAAGAGGGTCACTGCGAGTTGGAATTGACTCGATAGCAGTGAATTTGTTTTTTTAGTTCACATTCTACATGGAGCTCTGGTGGCATGATGCCTAAGGCATTTAACTGCTAACCAGAAGGTGGGTGGTTCAAACCCACCAGTTGCTCCATGGAAGGAAGATGGGGTAATCTACTTCCTTAAAGATTTACTGCCTCAGAAACCCAAAAGGGGTCACTATGAGTCAGAATCCACTCAATGGCAGTGAGTTTGGTTTTTTTGGTTTTATATTCTACCTAAAAAATGTGATTCTTATAATTTTCTTCCTCAGTAATCCTGTCATTCTTTGTTTTTGTGATTTGGTGGTTTCATTTAAGATTATGTTTTTAGTCTAATTGGTTGTAATATCTTGAATACTAACAAGCTATGCTAATATAAGGAGCTCTGGTAGCATAGTGGCTAAGGCACTTGACTGCTAACCAGAAGGCTGGCGGTTCAAACCCACCAGTCACTCCTTGGAAGGAAGATGGGGCAATCTACTTCCATGGTGATACTGCCTCGGAAACCCAAGGAGGGGTTGCTATGAGTCGAGTCCGACTTGATGGCACATAGCAACAACAAACAACAACATTTATTTAACTGGTGCTTTTCTAAGTGTTTAATATAAACTGTTTACATTTATAGTCCTCAGAACAATTCTGCTAGGTGAACGCTATTATTATTCCCCTCTTACAGATGGGGAAACTGAGGCACAGAGAAGTTAAACTCACCTAAGGTCACATAGCTTCTAAATGACAGAGTTAGAAGTTGAGCCTAGCCATCTGGCCATGGGGTTTATGCTTTTATCCACTATGCTTTCTTGCCTATTTTGTGGTCCTTTAGAAGCTGTAAGATGCTAAAGAGTTAGGATTGTATTACATATGGCCCTGGGATTATATTTCACTGTAGTCCTTCATCATGATTTATCTCATCCCCATTTTCTACTCTTAGTCTTGGCACAAGTGCTAAGAAAACGGGAGCCTTGGGTTGGGGCTTTGGAGACCTGGACTCACCATTCACAACCACCAAGGTGCCTGGACCAGACTTAAACTCCACGTCATCAGGGCTCCCCTTCACGAACTTCACACAGTAGTAGGTGTCAGAATCCTTTGTTGATGTGTCCATGATGCGGATGGAAAAGTCCATGTTGCTTCTTTGTGTGGTGTCAGTAACATTTCTCACCCGGGGGAAGAAGCGAATGGGGTCTAGGACTCCTTTGAAACTGTAGATTAACTGCCGATCTGGCCCAGTCCCCTTGAACCACTGGATGGGTCCCACGGGTACCAGAGCAGAGACAGAGCAGGGCAGAGTGACTGCTTCTCCAGCTGCGACAGACACCAGCTTCTCAGGTTGACTCACATGTGGTCCCTCACCTGCTACTCCTGGAAGGAAGCACAAGTCAACTCCCAAGTGGCCTGTCCTGGCCCAGTTGGAGCTGAGACTGGAGCCCATGTGTCTGGATGCAGATAGAACTTGAAGTCTCATTAATCCTTCCTGTTCCCATCATGTATTAACTTCTAGGATGGGAAAATAGCTAGTTTGGGTGCTGAGAAGAATGCAAAGACAAGATAGACAGAACCCTTGCAGAGGCCATGATTAGGGTCCTCATGAGAAAAGAAACAAATCTATGAAAAAATGTTCAACAACCCAGTAAAACTGAAACATCAGAAACAAAATGCTAAGGTCTGTGAGCAGATAGCTGGAAAAGTTAAACAAAACAAAATATAAAATGCAGGACTTAGCATATGAAACATTAAAGCATACATTAAGTTTTCAGTAACAGAGCCAGTTGATACTAAGGCAAGCAAAGAGGTCAACAAAACAGAAGAGAGAGCCTAGAATTGGACCCAACGAAATATGCAGATTTACTGTATGATAAAGGTGGCACTTTATGTCCATGCAAGAAAGCTATCTGAAGGACAAATAAAATTCTTGAAAAGTGGATGCCTCTGGAGAGTGGGATGGAAAATGGGGACTTTTATTGCTTCCCTGGATCTGTCTTCTCTGATCTCTCTTCTCCTCTGTAATCTCAAAACATACTTGTGAGAATATTGGCTTGGCAAAAACGTAAAAAGATGGTCAATTCTTAGTGTCACCAAGGGTATTGACTGAGCAGTCACTCCTACATAGTGCTGGTGGGAATACGAATCCTTCCAACCTTTCTAGAGGGCAATATGGCAGTATAGTCACGTCCCTATGACATATCCATACCCAGAAACCCATGTTTTAACAAGTAACGTAAAGATTTTAACTAAATCTGCTTGATCACAAGTGTTCCCAATGTCTCCCTGTCCTTGTTGCTGCTAATGTGCTATATTTGTTGAGATACAAGTATTATTATATTCTGTTGGGAAATCATTTATTTCAAAAGCTTTCAAAATGCACTCATACTCTTTGTCCTAAAAATTCCTCTTCTAAAATGGTAATATATATAAGTTTTGCTACAGGCTAAAAAGAAAAAAGTTATAATGTGGACAAGGCTATGACTTTTCAGAAGCAGATTGCCAGGTCCATCTTCTTTATTTTTTATTTGTATTTAAAATTTTTATTGTGATCTGGGTGAAAGTTTACAGAGCAAATTCATTTTCCATATAACAGTTCATACACATTTTTAGAATGACATTGACTGCAATCCCCACAATGTAACAGCTCTCTTGCCACTTCCTCTTTGTAGTTACCTCTTCCTTGTGTCCTTCTTTCCTCTGTATTTCTGCCCCCTGAGCTAACTCCCTGTCAGGTCTATATTCTAAACCACCTTTTTTTTTTTTTTTTTTTTTTCAATTTTTATTGTGATTTGGGTGAAAGTTTACAGAGAAAATTCATTTTGCATACAGCAGTTCATACACATTTTGTCTCATAACATTGACTGCAATTTCCCCCAATGTAACAGCTCTCTTCTCACGTCCTCCCCATAGTTACCTCTTCCCTATGTCCTTCCCTCCCATGCACACCTGCCCCTGAGCTGTCTTCCTGTGCTAACACTACCCTTCTGTTCTATAATAGATCGTGCCAAGAAGTGTATCTACCTGCTATAAATGTTCACCCCATATGCCTGTCTATTGTTTGACTGGAAGACATGGGGGTGAGTTCAATTCCAGACCTGAAAGGTAACTAGGAGGCATAGTCTCAGGGAATCTCACTAGACTCTATCAGACCAGCAAGCCTGGTCTTTTTTTTTTTTTTTTTTTTTAATGATTTTGAGTTTTGTTTAATGTTGCTCTCTCACTCTATCCAGGCTCTTCTGCACCTATCCCCCTCTGAGTGGTTGACTGTGGTAGCTGGGCACCATCTAGTTCTTCTGATCTCATGGTCATATAGGCTGAGGATCACATGGTCTACCAGTTCCCTGGACTAATTGTTTCCATGTGTCTTTGGTTTTCTTCATTGTTCTTTGCTCTGGACAAGGAAAGGCCCATCGTTGCACTTAGATGGCTGCTTGTAAGCTTTTTTTTTTTTTTTTAATTTTTTATTGTGATTTGGGTGAAAGTTTGCAGAGCAAATTCACTTGCCATACAGCAGCTCACACTTTGTCTCATGACATTGACTACAATTTCCTGCAATGAAACAGCTCCCCTCCCACTTCCTCCCCATAGTTACCTCTTCTCTGTGTCTTTCCCTCCCATGCACACCTGCCCCCTGAACTTCTCCCTGTGCATACACAGCCCTTCTATTCTCCATGATTGGTCTCTCCAAGGAGTGTATCTACCAAATGTAAATGTTCAGTTCATATGCCTGTTTTTTGTTTGGCTGAAAGCCACAGGAGTGGGTTCAATTCTAGACCTGAAGGGCAGCTAGGGTCCATAGACTCAGTGATTCCATCAGGCTCCATCAGACCAGCAAACCTGGTCCTTTTTTTAAAAAAAATTATTTTGAGTTTTATTCCACATTGTTCTCCCACTTTATCCAGGATCTCCTAAAGAGATCACCCTCTGAGTGGTTGACATGATATTTGTGCACCATCTAGCTCTTCTGGTCTCATAGTCGTATAGGCTGAGGATTGCATGGTGTACCAGTCCCTTGGACTAACTGTTTCCATGTGTCTTTGGGTTTCTTCATTCTTCTTTGCTTTGGATGAGGAGAGACCCATCGTTGCATCTAGATGGCTGCTTGCAAGCTTTTAAGATCCCAGTCGCTACTCACCAACGTAGGATGTGGAACAATGTTTTGTGTAGTATGTTATGCCAATTGAGCTTCATGTCCCTTGTGGCTATGGTCCCAAGCCCACAGGTCCACCTACTCGCTCCCTCTGGGTAGTTGTCATTGACCAAGAAGTGACTACAACATTGTGCCTTCTTGCAAGCTTTTAAGACTCCAATCACTATTCACCATAGTAGGATATAGAACAGTGTTTTTGTGTAGTATGTTATGCCAATTGACCTTACTGTCCTTTGGGACCATGGTCTCTCTGGGTGGTTTTGCATCATCAACCTCTCAACTAGTAGTTGAGTGCTTAGACATTTGCATCACCCAGGGACTCCACATAGACACATATATATCAGCATGGAAAAAGGTTCCCAATCTATTACTAAGTGAAAGAGCATGTAACAAACTACCGCTTTTAATATAATCCTATTTTTGTTTAATAATATAAATGAAGAGAGCAAAGTGAAGAGGTTAAAGCTAAGATTTGTAAAAACTCTTGGACCTGCATTTGAATGCCTCCTCTACTGTTTACTTTCTGTTTGATCTTGAGAAAATTATGTAACCTCTCTGAGTCTCCATTTCCTCATATACACAATATATTCAATGTGAAAAAAGAAGACTTCTCTTGCAGTTTTGCTACAAGATTGGAACAAGAAAACCTTTGAGAAACACTCAGGCCTGTGCCTGGTCATAGAAAGACTTGGAGTCCAGTGGGCGAGACGCTGCACTGCGCATCAGGCTGACTAGGCTCAAGGCCTGGCTCCAGTAATGATGAGCCAAAACCATGCCCTTCTTCTGCATTCTGTTTGCTTTTTGTAAACGTGAGGGAACGTCCCAAATTTCCATGATTGCTGTGAGCTTTAAATGAAGACTCAGGCTTGTGCAGGACACAGAGCAAGTGCTCTGTAAGGGCCACAATCAGCAGGACCACTTTTATGTATTGGCATGTACTAAACCCCGGAAGATGCAACAGTCAAAACTTCCATAGAGGCTGCTGTGTACCATGCATTAATCTAAACACGTAAATATATTCACTAACTTGTTTAATTTTCACCACGACTCTTTTAGAAAGGCTTTATTATTTCTCCCTATTGTAAAGACAAGTAATTTGCTGAAAGTCTAACAGCTTACAAGTGATGGAACTTGGAATTGAACCCTGGCAGTTTCAAAAACTATCTGGGCTTTTAATCACTTTACTAGATGGCCTCTCAGCTGAGTTGCTGGCATTGCTGGGATGAGGAAGGGTGCCCTCCTGTCTGCCCTGGGTATCTGGGTCCAGCTCTGGGGAGAAGGGTGGGGGGACAGGCAAGAGAAACACCCACATCAAGAATGGAATCCTGGAACGCTGGATTCTGGGTGACTTCATAGTATGTAAAAGCACTATTTACCAATATGTATCACAGCTATTAGAAAAATGTAATTTTAATATATATATTTATAACATAATAAAAAAACAAACCTCACTGCTGTTGAGTCAATTCAACTCATAGTGACCCCTTCTTGGGTTTCCCAGGTAATATCTCTATGGAAGTAGTTTTCACAGTCTTCCTTCTGAGGAGTGGCTGGTG